GTAGCTGGGATTATAGGCGCAAGCCACCAAGCTGGGCTAATTTTTGAATTTTTTTTTCTTTGGAAACAGTTTCGCTCTTGTTGCCCAGGCTGGAGTGCAATGGCATGATCTCGGCTCACTGCAACCTCTGCCTTTCGGGTTCAAGCAATTCTCCTGCCTCAGTCTCCCAAGTAGCTGGGATTACAGGTATGTGCCACCATACCTGGCTAATTTTGTATTTTTAGTAGAGACGGGGTTTCTCCATGTTGGTCAAGCTGGTCTTGAACTCCTGACCTCAGGTGATTCGCCTGCCTTGACCTCCCAGAGTGCTGGGATTACAGGCTTCAGCCACCACACCTGGCTGTTTTTAATTTTGTATGTACTTTTAATTTTTAAAATAGAGATGGGAGCCGGGGACGGTGGCTCACACCTGTAATCCCAGCACTTTGGGAGGCTGGTGGGCGGATCACCTGAGGTCAGGAGTTCGAGGCCAGCCTGGCCAACATGGTGAAACCCCATCTCTAATAAAAATACAAAAATTAGACTGGGCGTGGTGGCTCACGCCTGTAATCCCAGCACTTTGGGAGGCCAAGGTGGGCAGATCACGAGGTCAGGAGATTGAGACCATCCTGGCTAACATGGCGAAACCCCGTCTCTACTAACAATACAAAAATTAGCTGAGCGTGGCGGTGGGCATCTGTAGTCCCAGCTACTCAGGAAGCTGAGGCAGGAGAATGGTATGAACCCGGGAGGCAGAGCTGTACTCCAGCCTGGGCGACAGAGCCAGACTCCGTCTCAAAAAACAAAAAACAAAAATTAGTCTGGCGTGGTGGTGGGTGCCTGTAGTCCCAGGTACTCTGGACACTGAAGCAGGAGAATCGCTTGAACCCAGGAGGCAGAGGTTGCAGTGAGCCAAGATCGTGCCACTGCACTCTAGCCTGGGTGACAGAGCAAGACTCTGTCTCAAAATAAATAAATAAATAAATAAATAAATAAATAAAAATTAAAATTAAAATATAAAATAACAAAAGAGATGGGGGTCTCACGATGTTGCCCTGACAGGTCTCAAAGTTCTGGGTTCAAGCAATCCTCCTATTTTGGTCCTCCCAAAGTGCTGGGATTACAGGCGTGAGAAACCACACTCGACCACAGCTACCTAATTGATACACATTTTACAAAGCACTTCATAGTTTCACTTGGTCCACAAAACCCTGGTATTAAGCCAATTTTAGAGAGAGTGTAACTTGGTCAAGGTCGCCAAGTAGGTGAGTTGGAGAGCCTAGATTAACCGTGGATGTTGTGGGCAGCAGCATTTCCTTATAATGCTGACCACCTGGCTGGCTGTGGTGGCTCACATCTGTAATCCCAGCACTTTGGGAGGCTGAGGTAGGCAGATCATGAGGTCAGGAGATCGAGACCATCCTGTCCAACATGGTGAAACCCTGTCTCTACTAAAAATACAAAAATTAACTGGGCACGGCAGCGCATGCCTGTAATGCCAACTACTCGGGAAGCTGAGGCAGGTGAATTGCTTGAACCCGGGAGGCATTGCAGTGAGCCGAGATCGCACCACTAAACTCCAGCCTGGCGACAGAGCTAGACTCCGTCTCAATAATAGTAATAATAATAATAATGCCGACCATCTATTTCTTTCACTTTGGGGAAAATTTTTGTTGAATTGTTTACATACAAAAGAGCTGAAAAAGACTTTTGGGTATGAGTGCTAAGCATAAAAGCCTCCAACTTACATTGAAACACAAATTCTGCAAGGTTTAAAATACCTGGAACTTTTTAACTTACTGTTTTCTCTTTTGTTTTGCTTTTTAGACAGGTCTTGCTCTGTTGCCCAGGCTGGAGTGCAGTGGCGCAAACATGGCTCACTACAGTCTTGACCTCTTGGACTCAAGAGAGCCTCTTGCCTCAGGCTCCTGAATAGCTGGGACCACAAGCGGGCACCACCATGGCCAGCAATTGTCTTTTCTTTTTTTTTTTGAGATGGAGTTTCGCTCTTATAGCCCAGGCTGGAGTGCAATGGCACAATCTTGGCTCACTGTAACCTCTGCCTCCCGGGTTCAAATGATTCTCCTGCCTCAGCCTCCTGAGTAGCTTGGATTACAGGCGTGCATCACCACGCCTGGCTAATTTTTTTTTTTTTAAGTAGAGATGGGGTTTCACCATGTTGGTCAGGCTGGGCTTGAACTCCTGACCTCAGGTGATCTGCCCACCTCGGCCTCCGAAAGTACTGGGATCACAGGCGTGAGTCACCATGCCAGGCCTAATTTACTACTTTTTTTTTTTTAAACAAGTCTCGCTCTAGTCACCTATGCTGGGATGCAGTAGCACGATCCTGGCTCACTGCAACCTCTGCCTCCAGGGTTCAAGCAATTCTCCTTGCCCCGGCCTCTTTGAGTAGCTGAGACTACAGGCGTGTGCCACCAGGCCTGGCAAATTTTTTTTTTCTTTTTGAGACAGAGTTTTGCTCTGTTACCCAGGCTGGAGTGCAGTGGCGCAATCTCGTCTCACTGCAACCTCTGCTTCCCAGGTTCAAGCAATTCCCTTGCCTCAGCCTCCCAAATAGCTGAAATTGCAGGCACCCACCACCATGCCCTGCTAATTTTTGTATTTTTAGTAGAGATGAGAGTTCACTAGGTTAGCTAGGCTGGTCTCGAACTCCTGACCTCAGGTGATCCGCCCTCCTCAGCCTCCCAACGTGCTGGGATTACAGGCATGAGCCACCATGCCCGGCCTAATTTACGGTTAATAAACCTATTTTCTCCCTCACATTTCTAAGCTACATATTTGACTCTTGCTGGCTTATGTTATCTTCAGGTGATTGGTTCCAAGGCTTCTATGGATAACAAAAATCCACAGATGCTCACATCCCTTATATAAAATGCCACATTATTTGCATATAACCTATGCATATCCTGCTGTATACTTTAAATAACCTCTAGATTACTTATAATACCTAGTATAATGCAAACAGGATATAAATAGTTGTTACACTGTATTGTTTAGGGAATGACAAGGAAAATAGTCTACATGTTTCCTACAGAAATGACCCTGAATTTAAAAAAAAAAATTATTTTGAGACAGGGTCTCACTCTGGGCTGGTGTTCCATGGCGTGATCATAGCTCACAGCAATCTTGAACTGGGCTTCCGCGATCCCCCCACCTCAGCCTCCCTAGTGGCTGGGACTACAGGTACATGCTACTGCACCTGGCTGATTTATATTTGTTGGGATCTCACTTTGTTGCACAGGCTTCAAATATTCTCAATCCTCGATTGGCTGAATCGATGGACGCGGAACTCAGGGAATTGGCGCACTGACTGGACAATCAATGAATGCATCACAAAATCCTTTCTGACCTTAGGGCAAAAGGCCAGTGCCCCTAAAGGATTATTCCACACCTTTCTCCTTGTAGCAATGACTCCTACCAGGGAAAGGCAAGGCCAGTCACGCTTGCATTTTGTCACTTGTTCATTTCTCTTTGATTCAATGTATTTGAATCACCACTACACCTGGACACGAGGGACATCTGAGTATTAACACTACAGACTCACAGAAGCCCCGAGCGTCCAGGAAAACGAGTAGAAGTGTCTTCTATAAACCCAGGAGGGAATATGCTGGGGGACTGGCCAGGAGTGAACTCTGCTGAGGCCCTCTTTCTGAGTTTCTTTCAGGAACTGAATGTTTAGGCACTCCAGGAACACAGTTGATAGGAGGCAAGACGCAACTGGTTAATTCCCTCAATTACCAGCATCTCACTCACCTGGCAGTGATGTAGGGCTCTGAAACTCAGAAAAAAATCAGAAAACAGAACCTACGGAGGCCGGGTGTGGTGGCTCATGCCTATAATCCCAGCACTTCGGAAGGCTGAGGCAGGTGGATCACCTGAGGTTGAGTTCTATACCAGCCTGGTCAACATAGTGAAACTGTCTCTGCTGCTCACTTTGGGGGGAAAAAAAAAAAAAAAAGACCTGCTGATCCTTTTGTAGTTGATGACTGGGTTTTCACGCTCATAGATGAAGTGTGCCTCCCTCAAAACTGGTTACATTGACACATTACCCATCTGACATGAAAAAGTGGCCTACTCCAAACTGAATTCCATCCCCTTAAAGTTCTTCCCTAGCACGGAGTGGGGGATGGCAGCCTGAGTGTTTTAAAAGGAGGTGGCTACAACACCTTAAGCAGAGGAAATGCACCTTCAGGGGAACTGCACATATTAAGAATGCTTTTTTATCTTCAATCTGGGCGTCCAAGGGAGAAGGGAGAGAATACAGTCACCGGTTTAGTTACAGTTTATGGTTAGGGCCAGTAAAGTCCCTTCCTCATCCCTCTTTTCCACTTATCACTAGAGACAGAAACTAAGAACCATGACTCCAGGCTGCTAAAAGCCTAAAGCAAAAGAAAACAGAACAAAAGGTGGGTTGCACAAGCTTGCTTGGAAACAGTAGAGGAATAGTGACATGCAGGGCTGACCTGGCCACCAGGGAACCGACTCCAAATAGACCTAGTCCTGTTTCCTTTATCATTCACCTGATTGTTTCCTACTACTGCTCAGCTTACTTAATTCCAGACCCACAGCACCTGGAACCTTTGAATTGAGGACACGTTTGTGAGTGAGTTACTCCTTATATAACCCCTCAGGGAGCTGTCAGATCTGGGAGGATGCTATTTTTTTTTTTTTTTGAGACGGAGTCTCGCTCTATTGCCCAGGCTGGAGTGCAGTGGCGCGATCTTGGCTCACTGCAAGCTCCACCTCTTGGGTTCAAGCGATTCTCCTGCCTCAGCCTCCAGAGTAGCTGGGACTACAGGTGCCTGCCACCATGCCTGGTTAATTTCTTGTATTTTTAGTAGGGATGGGGTTTCACCGTGTTAGCCAGGATGGTCTCGATCTCCTGACCTCATGATCCCCCATCTTGGCCTCCCAAAGTGCTAGAATTACAGGTGTGCGCCACCGCGCCTGGCTGAGGATGCTAATTTCATAACCAGAGACAATAGACTAAATGAACCATATCTTGGAAGAAAATGACTTTATTCTAATTAACTCACAAAGAATAAAATCATAACAGCTAGTTTAAGGAGGTAACACATTTTGCCCAGTCCCAAATTCTACAGAGTAGGAACACACCCCCTTCCATTTCAGTTCTGAAGCAATGACAGGAGAGGTTTAACTGATGGTTACACTTTATACCTTCACTATCAATTCTATTTTTACACTAAATTAACTTAAGGTATGAGAGCTGATTTTCCATCTCTCCAGGTTGAACTTCTTGATTAGGCCAATCCTGCAAACAGAAAAGATTAAGTTAGAAGAGCGCTGGCTTCATATACTCAACAAAACAGAAGACTTCCAAATTATGAAAGCAGCGACAAAAGGTCAAGGCTATGGCCTTTTTTTTTTTTTTTTGGATAAAAAATAGAGATGATGTCTTGCTATGTTGCCTAGGCTGGTCTCGAACTCCTAGACTCAAGCAATCCTCCCATCTTGACCTTCCAGAGTTTCCACCAAGTTTATGGTTTTGTTTGTAAGCTACTGAAGGCATCCTACGACTAACAACACACCCTCAATCTCAAGAGTTCCCCTGAGGAACTTAATTAACTCCTTTCACTCAATGAGGTACAGATACCAGGTATCAGTCTTTTCGTCTATTCCCGGATTCTGGTGACAACAGAATCTAATTTTATATCCACGGCCTTAAAGATAGGAAGTCACTCACATCCAGTAATCACAGTAAGATCTGGCATACTGATTTATACCTTCTTCTTTTTTTTCTTTTAAATTTGAGACGGAGTCTCGTACTGTTGCCCAGGCTGGAGTGCAGTGGCGGGATCTTGGCTCACTGCAACCTCTGCCTCCTGGGTTTAAGGGATTCTTCTGCCTCAGCCTCCTGAGTAGCTGGGATTACAGGTGCCTGCCACCACACCCAGCTAATTTTTGTATATTTAGTACAGAGGGTTTTGCCATGTTGGCGAGGCTAGTCTCAAACTCCCGACATCAGGTGATCCACCCGTCTTGGCTTCCCAAAGCGCTGGGATTACAAGTGTGAGCCACTGCGCCTGGCCTATACCTTCTAAAGGAAGAAGAAAACTCAGAAAATGACTAACAAAAATGACTAGAAACCTCTGGCCCAGTTGTTAGGAGTTAATTCTAGAGAAATTTCAACAAAGTCTTGTCTAATTTATTAATTTATTAAACATAGATTCCCCTAAGTTTTACAGGATCCAGGAATTCCACTGTGAATTAAGCAGATGTAAATTGGACAAATCACCTACCGTTTGCAAGTCGGCACTGTTTCAGCACCTCATTGAAACCCTCACAGAGCTTGATGTCACCCTGGTTCTGGGCACACTCCAGAAACTGTTTGATCTCATAGAAGCAAGGCTGCTGCTGCTGTGCCAGCTGGGTTCCCTGTGGCTCCTGTGAAGGCAAAACATTCAACATTGCTGAGAAAGAAAATCATACATACGCCTAGACAATAAAGAGTATCCATACTCTTTGAGGTTAACGGAAAATGGAACTAGCACCAGATGCAAATTAAGGTTTCCATCTATTAACATGGAAAGTGAAAACATTTATTTTTTTATTTTTTTTGAGATGAAGTCTCGCTCTGTCGCCCAGGCTGGAGTGCAGTGGCAGGATCTCAGCTCACTGCAAGCTCCGCCTCCCGGGTTCACGCCATTCTCCTGCCTCAGCCTCCCAAGTAGTTGGGACTACAGGCACCTGCCACCTCGCCCAGCTAGTTTTTTGTATTTTTTAGTAAAGACGGGGTTTCACCATGTTAGCCAGGATGGTCTTGATCTTGTGACCTCGTGATCTGCCCGTCTTGGCCTCCCAAAGTGCTGGGATTACAGGCTTGAGCCACCGCGCCCGGCCGGAAAGTGAAAACATTTAAATCTTCATTTACTTAAAAAATATTTTAGGCCGAACGTGGTGGCTCACACCTGTAATTCCAACACTTTGGGAGGCGAGGCCGAGGAGGGTGAATCACTTGAGGTCACGAGTTCGAGACCAGCCTGGCCCATATGGTGAAACCCCATCTCAACTAAAAATACAAAAATGTAATCCAGCTACTCGGGAGGCTGAGGCAGGAGAATCGCTTGAACCCGGGAGGTGGAGCCTGGGTGACAGAGCACGACTCCACCTCCAAAAAAGAAAAAATTAAATAAATATTTTTAGTAAAGATAGGGTCGCGCTATGTTGCCTAACCTGGTCTCAAACTTCTGGGCTCAAGCAATCCCCTCACTTCAGCCTCCCAATGTGCTGGGATTATAGGCATAAGTCTCTGTGCCCAGTCAAAAGTGAAAATATTTAAAAGCAGAGAGCCAACAGCTTTAACAAAATTCCAGTTATAACTAGAAAGATTCATAAAGATGCAAATAAACAAGAATTGTTATCTTGTGAAGCTTCAGGGAGGAAAAATGGCAGTATTATAGAAAAATGGATGGAGCAGTTTCAAGCACACCAGAAATACAAGAGCATATACACCTATGCTCATTAGACTAGAAAACCCATACACATCAGAAAGATGGGTAATGGCAAATATCAGGTAAAAGAGCACAGAACTACGCAAGATTTTTGATTCGTTAACTAAGATCAAGACAGGGTTAGTAAGAAGTGTCTCTGGGATGAAATATTCTGAGGGAAAAGTGGTTGTTTTTACAGTGAGTCAAGTGGACTGTTACAAGTCTACTCCTTGGGAAGTAGTACAATTTGTACAGTACTTGTTGGTGCTGGCCTAAGGCAATAACTCAACGACCAAATGTGGCTTTAAAACCCATTGTCTATTAACAGCACAGTGGGTTCTAAAATCAAAGACAAGTCCTACACATAAGGAACTTACAAACATCTGGGTTTTCTCATAAAATCCACCCATGGAAGGGAAATGCTGCCTAAATTCCCACCTGGTAAGTGATGTCAGGACTCGCAGGCTCAGCATTACTTCCTCCACTGAAGCCCCCAGTAATGGCATGACCCAGTGTGTGTCCCACAGCAGAGCCCACAGCCACGCCAGCTGCAGTGGTTGCCATCTGGGCCATCAGACCTGGCTGCCGGGGTGCAGCAGCAGAAGAGCCAACTGCAGATGGGGGTGCCGCTGCTGGTGGCTGAGCAACAGGTGCCGGCCTGGGTGCAGCTCTCATCTGAGGTACCCGGCTATGAAAGAAAATAACAAAACATATCAAATTCCCAATTCCAACCAGTTTTGGAAATTGTCAACTTAACTTACATATTAAAATGGACCTTAAGATTTTCATTTCAAATTATTTACATCATTTTATCTCTTCAATTTTTTTTTTTTTTTTTTGGAGACAGAGCTTCGCTCTTGTTTCCCAGGCTGGAGTGCAATGGCTCAATCTCAGCTCATTGCAACCTCTGCCTCCCAGACTCAAGCGATTCTCTTGCCTCAGCCTTCCAAGTAGCTGGGATACAGGCACCTGCCACCACGTCCGGCTAATTTTTTGTATTTTTAGTAGAGATGGAGTTTTATCATGTTAGCCAGGCTGGTCTCTAACTCCTGACCTCAAGTGATCCACCTGCCTGGGCCTCCGGAAGTGTTGGGATTACAGGCGTGAGCCACCACCCCCGGCCACTTTAATCTTTTCTTGTAACAGTAACAGCCTAGGACAAACTAGTTTTTCCTGCTTTTTTGCAACCATTTCCATGTATTCACATAGCCCACAGTATCTTTAAAGACATATCCAATATGTCATAAGAAATATAGACTATTAAAAGTTAGAAAGATTCTTACAGAATTCATTCATTCAAGTATTAGGTTAACTACAAGGCGCTGGTAATAAAACTGTGAACAACAGACAAAAATCTCTGCATTCATGGAGTTTACATTTTATTGAGGGATCAAGTAACTAAAAACAGGCTGGGGAGTGGTGGCTCTTGTCTGTAATCCCAGTGATTAGGGAAGTGGAGGCGAAAGGATCATTTGAGGCCAGGACTTTGAGACCAGCCAGAGCCACATAATGAGACCCTGTCTCTACTAAAATATAAAATAGAATAAAGTCGCCAGGTGTGGTGCACAGGTGGCGCACGCCTGTAGTTCCAGCTACTCTGGAGGCTGAGGTGAGAGACTAGCTTGAGCCCAGGAAGTCAAGGCTGCAGTTAGCCATGATTACGTCACTCACTACAGCCTGAGTTAGAGTTAGCCTCTGACTCAAAATATAAATATTCTAATTAAGACCTAAAGATGGTCAACTGGGGAAATAATCTAGTCCAATTCCTTCATTTTACACATTAGAAAACAAGACTGGCGAAAGTGACTCGTCTGAACTATTATACCAAAAGCAACTTCAACTATTCCTCATCTGTTCAACGTTCAGATGCTTTCAACAATTTTGAGACCCCCTTCTTAAATAACAAAAGACTAATTATGTCCTGCATGTATTTAAAAATCTCCACATGTATCACGCTCCCTCTGACCATTTCCGGATCATTTCCTTGGGTGTTCTTTTCCCCCAAATCAGGCTAGGTCAAAGGTTATGCCTTCCTAGCACCTGGCCATAACGTTATGCCTTTCCCGTTGTTTGGATAGGAAGCTTTTTCTGTAAGTGAATTCCCTCCCCACGCTCCCCTAACACACGTTTTACGCTCCATCTACCCCCGCCTGGCCGAGGCGAGCCCCCGCCGCAGCCGGCCTTGGTTCGCCCCCGCCCGTGGCCTCCCTCTGCGTCATTGCCCCAGTAGGGTCCTGACGGCCACGCTTTGGTCTCAAACCCCGCGATGGTCTCACCTGGCCGGAGGGGCCATGCGGGAGGTGCGGCTTCGGCTTCCACGCGGCATCCTAGGTACTCGACGGCTCGGCCTACGGACCTGTAACAACCCGCGAAGAGCTAAGCGACTTCTGAGAAGACCGGAAGACGGGAGGCGGAGCTGGCCTTAATGCGCAGCCAACCAGCACACAGGCAGAGGACTTCCGTTCTCCGACGTCTCCGCGGCCTGAAGGTCACTGGAAGAGGAGGACGTCACGGGGACGCCTCGTCCTTCGCGACCGACGTCATGAACTTGGCGCCAAGATCTTTAAAACCTGGAAGTTCCTGTGGTTGGTCCGCAAACCTTGTCCTCCGGTCCTCGCATCAGACCGCTTAGCATTTTGCTTCCTAGCGCAGCTGAACCATCGCTGCTTCCTTCAAACATTTGTATTAAATCCAACCTTAAGAGTGCCTCACATCTCTGGCTGGATTGCCAGGGGACCTTGGGCAGATCGCTTAGCTTTTGTGAGCATTCAGTTATAAGGGCGAATGTTGTTGGAGGCACAATGTGGACGCGTAGTATGAACTGAATGAAAGAAATCGTTTTCGCCAAGAATCGAGAGTTGAGTTAGTTCTATTTGGTATTTCTTGTCTGTGGATCCAGTCAGCAAAAGTTTAATTCAGGCAGCAATAATGTTTTACATTTATGTGTTACTATTTATTTTCAGTTCCTTTGCGTATGTATTACAGAATTTGCGTCCAGAATTGGGATAGTAACCATACACTGGTAAATTCAACAAAAATTTACTGAGTGGCTAGCTAGGTTCTGGAGATACTTCACCAAATCAGGTAAGATTCTACCTTCACGAAGTTAAGTTTCACGGAGGGAAGACACAAACACCTATGTAAATCAGGTGGTGGTGACATGAAAAGCGAGGAAGGAGACTGGAAATTAAGAGGTTATGCAAGGCGGGGGTCATTTGAACCGAGTCCTTGAAGAGGTTGGGGGAAGCAAGCCATGTGTTTATGAAGGATAAGAACGTTACAGGAAGAGAGAACAGCAATTGCAAAGGCCCCAAGGATCTGTGCTTTAGTGATACTTGGTGTGAAATGTTTTTTTTCTTTTTTTTTTTTTTGAAATGTTGTCTCGCTCTGTCTCCCAGGCTGGAGTGCAGTGGCGCGTTCTCGACTCACTGCAGCCTCCGCCTCCCGGATTCAAGCGATTCTGCCTCAGCCTTCGGAGTAGTTGGAATTATAGGCGCACGTCAACACCCCTGGCTAATTCTTTATTTTAGTGGAAACGGGGTTTCACCATGTTGGTCAGGCTGGTCTCGAACTCTTGATCTCAGGTGATCCACCCACCTCGGCCTGCAAGTGCTAGGATTACAGGCATGAGCCACCAGGCCCAGCCTGAAATGCTTTCAACAGTTACATTAAGCATCGCTAAAGTAAGGGGAAATTTGACTAGTGGCATTTCATAATGGGCTCATGAGAAAGTCCCTTGCAGTTGGCAGTGAGGTTTATTGAGGAGAGGAAGCAGAGATGGAACCCCCATTTCTGCTTGATGTCAATCAGAAATTTCTCCCTTCCACCAGAGGAAGTGGAGTTTTAAAACAGCCTTCCCATGTCCCAGCAACGGCAGAATGTACTTGAAACTAAAGGGTGAATAATGTGGGAGCTAAGCTATGAGGATGCAAAGGCAAAAGAATGATATAATGGGCTCTGGGGATTTGGAGGGATGTGCTAGGGGGATAAGGGATAAAAGACTACACTGTTCAGTACAGTGTACACTGCTCGGGTGATGGGTGTATCAAAACCTCAGAAATCACCACTAAATAACTTTTCTATGTAACCAAACACCACCTGTTCCCCCAAAACTATTGAAATAAAAAAATTAAAAGATCGTTCGAACAAAAAAAGGGCAAATAATACAAAAACCTTTTGTAAAAAACAAAGCTTTATTATTACATAACTTCTTAAAGGAATGAATGCTTTACAAATAATATGACTTTTTACTTGCTTTTAGATAATTCATAAGCAGAGATGAAGAAAATGAGTCTTACATAGGATACATCCTGGCACAAGAAGAGTTTAGAGTGAGGAGAACTTTGGACAATTCAAGACAGAAAGGAATCCAGACCAGAACAGACACCATTTTACTCAAACATGGCTAAGTCATTCATTCCTAAATTGAAAGAATATTAGATGTTCATACAAGGTTATTTTGTGTTGGTAAGGGATTGGAGAAAACCCAAATTCCTGCCAATAGAAAATTGGTTAAAAAAATAATGGCAGGCCGGGTGCGGTGGCTCACGCCTGTAATCCTAGCTCTTTGGGAGGCCGAGGCAGGCGGATCACGAGGTCAACAGATCGAGACCATCCTGGCTAACATGGTGAAACCTGTCTCTAGTAAAAATACAAAAATTAGCCAGGCGTGGGGGCACGTGCCTGTAGTCCCAGCTACTTGGGAGGCTGAGGCAGGAAAATGGCATGATCCTGGGAGGCAGAGGTTGCAGTGAGCCAAGATTGCACCACTGCACTCCAGCCTGGGCGACAGAGTGAGACTCCATCTCAAAAAAAAAAAAAAAAAAAAAGGCATATTCACATAATAGGCAACTATAAAAAAAGAATGAGGAATCTTCTCTGTATATTAATATGAAATGATTTCCAAAATAAACTACAAGTGATAAAAAAGCAAGGGACAGAATTGAGTACAGTGTGCTATTATTTGTGTAAAACAGAACAAAAAGATCATATTGTATATGCATAAAATATCTGAAGTTGATAACACTGGTTGCCTTTAGGCAGTGGGACTGGGTGTCTGTGGTGGGGCTAGGGGCATTCAGTAGCTTTTGGATTTTGAAGCAGTTAATGTATTCTATCCAAAAAACAGATTAAGAAAAAGTTAATTAAAACAAAGAACAAAAAACTCAGAATTGAAAATACCAGAATTCTGCTACATATCATTTATAGTTTGCTGAGACAGATGTGTGAAGTTCACTCTGTTTTTTTGAGATGGAGTTTTGCTCTTGTTGCCCAGGTGCGATCTTGGCTTGCTACAACCTCTGCCTCACAGGTTCAAGCAACTCTCCTGCCTCAGCCTCCCAAGTAGCTGGGATTACAGGTGTGCACCAGCATACCCGACTAATTTTGTATTTTTAGTAGAGATGGGGTTTCACCATGTTGGTTAGGCTGGTCTCAAACTCCTGACCTCAAGTGATCCACCTGCCGTGGCCTCCCAAAGTGCTAGAATTACAAGTGTGAGCCACTGCGCCTGGCCAGTTCACTCTTTAGTAAAATTTTTATAGCAACTTCTCATTCCATGGTGATTTCAGTCACTCTCAACAAATTTACTTATAGTTACCAATATTTGAACTTTTGCAGGTGTTATCATAGATATGACATTGGCTGAATGGACTCTTGAATATTGTAGTAAACCTTCTGCTCGAATTAGGTAACAGGCATTTGAAGTTTTAAAATTATGGAAACTGTGTTCCAGAAATTTTACTTCTAGGAATTTAAGAAACTGTCATGATTGTACCAATAAATGTGTTGTAGGGATGTTCATTTAACAAAATGTATAAAACAGGGAAAACTTGTAAACAACCTAAGTGTCCTATAATAGAATTCGTTAAATAAGTTACGATATATACATATGATGAAATGTATGCAGCCATGAAAAAATGTTATGAGGGGCTGGGCACAGTGGCTCAAATCTGTAATCCCAGCCCTTTGGGGAGCCAAGGTAGGCAGATCACTTGAGGTCAGGAGTTTGAGACTAGCCTGGCCAACATGGTGAAACCCCATCTCTACTAAAAATACAAAAAATTAGCTGGGTGTGGTGGCTCATGCTTGTAATCCCAGCTACTTGGGAGGCTAAGGCAGGAGAATTGCTTGAACCCAGGAGGTAGAGGTTGCAGTAAGCTGAGATTGCACCATTGCACTCCAGCCTGGGCGACAAGAAGGAAACTCCGTCTCAAGAAAAAAAAAAAAAAATTGGGAAAGAATATTTGACATGAAAGGAATTTTTACAATACATACATTACGTGAAAGAGCAGATTACATGATAGTACACAGTGTATTTATATTTTGAGAAAGTAAATATATATTTTGAATATTGGAATTATATATACCCAACTAATAATGTTATCCATTGAGTCATGGAATTATAAGTGATTTTTTTTTTTTTGCTTGTCCCTATTTTCCAGTTTTTCTACAGTGACCATACTTGCAATAATTAAACATAGCATGGTAGTTTAAAATATGTCCACAAATTATTTGATACTCTCTTCAAAAGGTGGAGCCCAGTCCCTGTCCCCTTGAGTGTGGGCTGGGTTGCCTAATTCCCTTCTGACAGATAGTAAAAGCAAAAGTGATGGTTTGCAACTTTGCAAACTACATCATAAAAGGTACTGTGGCTTCCTCCTTGTTCACTGTTTGATTACTCACTTGGGAAAGCCAGCTGTCACACCATGACAGCTAAGCAGCCTGTAGAGAGGCTCATGTGACAGAAACTGAGCCCTCAGGTCAGCAGTCACATAAGTGAGCCACCTTGGAAACAGGCTTTAGGTGACTGCAGTCTCAGTAGACAGCTTGACTGCAATGTCATGAGACACCCTGAGACCAAATGACCCAGCTATGCCACTCCATAATTCCTGACCCACAGAAATGGAGATCCTAAGTATTTTTTTATATTTGTTTATTTTTGAGACAGAGTCTCACTCTGTCACCCAGGCTGGAGTACGGTGGTGTGATCTTGGCTCACTGCAACCTCTGCCTCCCGGGGTTAAGTGATTCTCCTGACTCAGCCTCCTGAGTAGCTGGGACCACAGGTGTGCACCACCACACCTGGCTAATTTTTGCATTTTCTGTAGAGATGGAGTCTCACGCTGTTGCCCAGCTTGGTCTTGAACTCCTGGACTCAAGTGATCTGGCCACCTCAGCCTCCCAAAGTGTTGGGATTACAGGCATGAGCCACTGGGCCCGGCCCTAAGTATTTATTTTAAGTCACTAGGTTTGGAGTAGTTTGTTACATAGCAGTAGATAAGTAATACACATATTTCCTACAGTGACCGCATTTATAATTTAAATTTAATTAAAAAGGCCAGGCACAGTGTCTCGTGCCTGTAATCCCAGCACTTTGGGAGGCTGAGTCTGGAAGATCACTTGAGCCCAGGAGTTTGAGACCAGCCTGGGCAACATGGCAAAACCCCTCCTCTACAAAATACAAAAAAATTAGCTGGGTATGGTGGCGTGTACTTGTGATCTCAGATACTTGGGAGACTATGATGGGAGAATCACTTGAGTCCAGGAAGTTGAGGTTGCAGTGAGCTGTGACTGTGCAACTGTACTCTAGCCTGCGGGACAGAGTGAGACTCTGTCTAAAAAAAAATGTGTTTTTGGCCAGGGGCGGTGGCTCATGCCTGTAATCCCAGCACTTTGGGAGGCCGAGGCGGGCATATCACAAGTTCAAGAGATCAAGATTATACTGGCCAACATGGTGAAACCCCATCTCTACTAAAAATACAAAAATTACCTGGGTGTGGTGGCACGCGCCTGTAGTCCCAGCTACTTGGGAGGCTGAGGCAGGAGAATCACTTGAACCTGGTAGGCAGAGGTTGCAGTGAGCCATCATGCCACTGCACTCCAGCTCATTTTTTTTAAATTAAAAAGTTCTAGTATCTAAATGAGCAAAATCACCAGGTGCAGTTGATCACACTTGTAATCCCAGCACTTTGGGATATAGAGGCGGGAAAATCATCTGAGGTCAGGAGTTTGAGACCAGCCTGCTGTGAGCAGAGATTGCACTACTGCACTCCAGCCTGGGAGACAGAGTGAGACCCCATCTCAAAAAAAAAAAAAAACAAAGAAAAACCCAAACATAAAAAACCAACAAATGCAGTTGAAAAGAACAGCATCAGCCAGGCACAGTGGCTCATGCCTGTAATCCCAGCACTTTGGGAGGCTGAGGGTGGAGGATGGCTGAGCCCAGGAGTTTAAGACCAGCCTGGGCAACATGGTGAAAACCTGTCTCTACAAAAAATACAAAAGTTAGCCAAGCATGGTAGCATGCACTTGTAGTCCCAACTACTTGGCACGCTGAGGCGGAAGGATTGCTTGAGCCTGGGAGGTCGAGGCTGAAGTGAGCCATGATTGCACCACCACACTCCAGCCTGGGCAACAGAGCAAGACCCTGTCTCTACAAACAAACGAACAAACAAAAAATACGTAAACACAAAACAGAACAGAATCATTTCCTTATCGATAGTTTGAAGGAAGTGAATTGCCTGTAAAAGTTTAGTGTGAGGCCAGGCATGATGGCTCATTCCTGTAATCCCAGTGCTTTGGGAGGCGGAAATGGATTGTCTGGGCCCAAGAGGTTGAGGCTGGTGCTTGTGCCACTGCACACCAGAAGCCTGGGCAACAGAGCTTGCCCCCGTCTCAGAACAACAAAACATGGTTTACCACAACCAACAGGACAATTCTGGATAAAACTATATATGAAATATTTACTGCTGTGCTCAACAAAGTAGTATAGAGGCCAAAGGCAAAAGTCCTGGGGTCAGGCTACCTGGTCTGCTATCTAATTAGCTGTGTCATCTTTGGAAAGGTACTTGAACTCTCTGTGCCTTAGAATCTATTTTCTAAAATGTGGGCTGGGCACAGTAGTTCATGCCTGTAATCCCAGCACTTTGGGAGGCTGAGGTGGGTAGATCATCTGAGGTCAGGAGTTTGAGACCAGCCTGGCCAACAAGGTGAAACTTGGTCTTTATGAAAAATACAAAACTTAGCCAGGCATGGTTGTGGGCACCTGTAATCCCAGCCACTTGGGAGGCTGAGTCTGGAGAATTGCTGGAAACCAGGAAGCAGAGGTTGCAGTGAGCCAAGATCATGCCACT